AACAAAGTGTGTTCGTTTGTAAACTAGTGCCTTCGGAAAATATTACCTATCTTTTGGCCAAACCGAATTTCAAACCAACAATTGTGGAACAAAACAAATACAAACGATATCAATATAAATATCCGCAGGAGAAAGTTTGGCTGGATTGGTCACATCTTACGAAAGCCAACAAGTGAAGTCTATTTTCAAGCTCTTACGTATAACCCGCAAAGCAGTAGAAGAAGAGGAAGGCCTCAAATTACTTGGCGCAAATCAACAATAAACGAAATCAACAGCCAATCAACATACCTTGGCAGATCATACACCAATATTGTTGAGCAATATTGTTGATGTTTTATAAGTGAAGTGAAGCTATAAGTGAAGTGAAGTGAATTACAGTTTTGAGGTAAATGAAACTAATTTTTATTTAATATACATATATATTTTATATTTATAATAACCTATATTGTACACTTTCATGTAGACTGTCCGTTAGTCGGGAAATGTTGCAAATATTGAAGCCATCTTTAGTAAAAGTATAATTCTGTCCCATATCTGCGGTGGTGTCAAAGAAAAAACATCTTTACGGGAGTATTCATTTTTGCTGGATACTATTTTTGCTACTTGCAGAATTTTTTTCAATACAGCTGGTTTTTATAAATAACAATTCTTTTCAATTCTTTAATAAGAGATCTGCGGAAAGCGTTAAGTTATTTACTTTTTTATTTAGCCATAACAACCCGTTACCGAGTTTCGGCCTGACGCAGCATGTCTCCCCAGGCGCCTCTGCTGCGCAAAAAAAGAGAAGAAATAAAAAAGAGTGAAAAAATTAAATGGTAAGAGCGCACAATTTTCAATCGAATGAGTTCGTTATGTAGACATGATCTTCGAGACATGTACGCAAAATGTCTTCGAAGACTTTGACTAATTTGTTCAAAAATGTCTTCGAAGACCGTCATACATTTGTATCTATCGATCTTCATGTATATATCCATGTCTTGAAGACGTCTCGCATCGTCGGATCGATCCATTTTCTACTGGGACGATGTGGAGTTTGACCATATTTGGTTCCTGCCAATATATTATGAATAATTTTGGTATGAATGTTAACCGTAGATAGAATGCCGAAAACCAGTTTTTTTTAATAACAATAAAGTGGATGAAGTGAAATACCTCGGATATACATTAAAAAGTGGTACTACTGCTGACGCCAGAAATTCGTTTCGTGACAAGTTCGTATTCTAAAACGAAAGTGAAGCTTTTAATACTTTTGTTGAAACCGTTTTATTATATAGCTCAGAAAAGTGGTTTATAATGGACTTAATTGCATATAAAAAACAAATTTTAATCAACGGTTTTTTGTGATAGATACTAAGAATATTGGTGTATACAATAAGTCCCAATGAATGCCTATTGTCAGTAATGAATGCATACAGTAAACAAATAAGTAAACAAACATCTGACTGAATCGCACTTTCCACAAGCCTCTAAATAGAATTTTGCATGCGATTTTGGAATAGAATCCTCCAGAAAGAGAGAAGAAGGTTAATCGATAATTACTTGGGGAAGGGTGATCACAAAGAAATATATAAATATTATCAAAACCTGTGTCAAGAAAGAAAACAAAAAAAAATAAAAAATTCTGTCCGGTTAGGATTTTCTAATAAATTAACTAAAAGCAAATTATATAATATTATTTAACCAAATTTATACAAATTCATTTTTCAAAAAATATGTAAAATTTATTCTACAGTCTATATCCTTTAATTAGTTGCTATGTTTTATATTTTAAAAATATAAATAACTTTGATATATAAAACATTTATATTTAAAGTGTGCTATATATAGCTGGTATTCGTTAGAATCCACAATACTACGTATCTACATATACCCATATTTTATATTAATATGTTTATAATGACAGAGGCCATACAATGTTCTCTATCCAATCGATGTAAGCTGATATTCTTGTATTTACGCTGGGTGGTTTGCCAGCACAGCCTTGTCCAAATGATGTTATACCAACAATAAAGTCATGTATAATGTCTTCACCAATTTTCATGATTACTGGACCACCAGAGTCACCCTAACATAATGGCATTAATTTAGCCAATATTTTATTATATTTAAATTTCTCACAACTTATAAAATACCTGACAAGTGTCTCGTAGTTCTTCTGGATCTCCAGCACAAATCTGTGTATTGATAATGCCATATTGAAGTTGATCGTTATCATGAATATAATGTGTTCTACAAAGATTATTGTGAACTATATTCAAATTGGCCTTTAGCAGCTGTTGAGAAGCTTCTCCGCCTATATAAGTTAATATCAAATATTTTTATTGAATTTATATACACTATAATTAATAGTTAATAATTAATCTCACCGAATTTTGTGTGTCCATAACCAATTGCTGTAACATTTTTATTTGGTAGATCATATTTACTCCATAAGCAAACTACCTCATTACTTAAAATATATATTTGTTAAAAAATGTATTAATTATAAGTCTTGTGTTCATGTATATATTAAACTTACTTTGATTCTTGTTCCAGCTCTATTAATGCAATATCATTATAAGATGATATATAGTCGTATGAAGGATGCACTATAATTCTTTTAATTTTTATGTCCGAATTCTTGGAGTCAGTAAGATTGATTCCTCCAATGCGAGCGTATTTTGGTGTTACACTAGAATTATAACAAAATAATAATTGCAGTATCTTTAATTATTTACATTAATTATATTGTGTATATATTTTCCTATACCATAATTATATTATAGATTATTTCACTTATTTTTATTAATTATTTTTATTTTTAGCTCATTTAGATCAGACTTAAGTTACTTGATAAGTTGATTTATTAAATAGGTTAAAACACAAAAAGGGATTTAATGATCATTTATTATATATTACATTCAATTATTCAAAAAAAGTTTAAATCATTAATTATAATTTGTTCTAATGTGCATATATATTAACTTTGAATAGTTTCGAGTTCACATTTTAATATTAATATATTTGTTATTTATTTAATATTTTCAATAGTAATTTATTTAATATAATTACAATAGTAAATTTTATTAAAAGTTTAAAAATTAATAATTGAATTTAATGATAAAACTTAAATAATTTAATTTTTTTTAAAGAGAACTTTTTGCGTAGTGTGAAAACCCACAAACCTTTATTCACAAGAGTTTTTTTTACACAATATATATGGTATATACTCAATATCTTATAGTATATACGAGTACATATGTATATATAAATGTATACGCAATTAAAACGATAATTTTTCATTATCGCTCTAATTATTAAAACTGGTTTTATGACTTACCCGCCCAAATCTGTGCAATGTGCTGCTGTTAGAACGAATTTCTTTGATATAAGAGCACCACCACAACGGTAGATTATTGAACTATCTAAGTTGGATGTCCAACCCAATGCAACCTGAAATGCACTAGTACATCAGTGTTTTTTAAGTGTATATAATTCAATCTATTCTTTATATTGTATATTAATTTACCATATAAGGAAATTCATTTAGTTCTGTTGGATCACCATGTACCACAGTCGTTCGAACTATATTATCTCCTTCAGGAATAAGTTTATGCAACTGTGGCGCTGGCGTAATATTAAGCTCTGGCATACATGCTGTAAAGCATATAAAATTATATTTATTTAATTAAATATTTTTTTTTTTAATTCTTTTTTAATTAAAACCATAATTTAATAATTTAATTGTGATAGCTTACCCAACTCACTGCGGCGTCTGGCTATTGCCGGTGATAAATAGCAGCCCTCTTCACCGAAAGCTAATTCACAGCAAACGATTTGCTCGAACTTATTGAAGTAGCAAGTCTTAGGACGTATATTTTCATTTTTCCAACGACTCAGTGCTGAGGGACAGTCACGCAGATTTTTACATTTTCCCTTGATCTGTTGTTTTTCATCCATATAGCAATCATCAAAAAATTCTTTGTTTGGATAAATAATGCGGCCGTTTTGTGAGTTGTCATAATAAGTTGCAGCTATAGGTATTTTTCAGTAAGTTTCACAATCTTAAAGATATTTCATTTAAGTAAATATACAGAACTTACAATTTCTGCAAATAAGAATATAGAAAATAAAAATCTTCCACAACAATTCCCACATTCTTTTCGATAAGTCGTCCAATTAGCCTGAAGTATCTTTAAGCTCGTACTGATTGCTACTGTCAAGCCATGAATTTATAAAATCAACAATATCTCACAAAATTTTCACTTTGTATGCTCAATGCTCTTAAATATTTATTTATGTTAAGTTTTTATATTTACAAGTTGAGATGAGGGAACTTGATTTCAAACGGCTTTCATTGCCAAGTTTAAGATTGTTTTGAGGCATTGTCAGGTAGTGTTGCCAACGGTTTTAGAAATCACTTAGGTAAACCAATTCAATGCAAATATGCTCTGAGTTTCAGTTACTTTTAAATTGTATTTTAAATATTAATATAGTTTGATTTTTTTTAAATCTGTTTGAATATAATAAATACTGTTCAGAAACGTGGATCTACGTAAATGTTATGGGATCGCGAAGTAGATTTTTTTTAAATTTATATTTATTAAGATATTTGGTATATTGTTATGGGTTAGTAATAAAATTAAAATTTAAAAAAGTTCTTTAACATATCAATATATCAGTACTCCTCTTGATATTGATACTCCTCTTGTAACGACTAAATTGGCAATTAAATATTAATATTTTGAATGGACAACTAAAACCTAGATAGATAAAGGTAGATTTTTGTCAAATCGCAAAACTCTTTTGTTTCGACAAAATCCATATTAGTTGGCTAATTTAAATAAAGCGAAACCAACTAGGAATTACGATTTCTGTCGGTAATGTGGCTCTGCTGATGAGGAATCTGTTATCAATCATATATGTCAATGCCAATCATTGTCTGGGAGAAAATGCCATATATTTGGGAGACTGTTCATACCCACCGAACAGAATTGTCGTTGTTTAAAATTAGGGACATAGCCGCGTTCATAGATTTGTTAGGTTTAATTGACTTGAGTCTTCTCAAAAGGACAACTATCTTTCCTATCTTTGATAATATAGGTGGTATCACAGCAGGCAATTGTTTGCGCTTAAGTAAGCTTTAGATATACAAATTTGCTACTCCAACCAAATTCAACCTACTAAACTAAATCAAAAAAAACTATATTACAAGCGACTTAGTTATTCCAATTCACTCACTATATTTCTATGCTAAATGATCTGTCAATGGAGACTGTTAAATTGATTTCCTGAGATAATTAAGTGTGAGTGCAACTCTCTCTATGATTTTTTTAAATTATATTTTGTGCGCACTTTAGGGAAGTCATTGTCCATGCGCTACCTCCCTACCTCTACGCCTATTTATTTCATATAATTTCTAGTCATCACCAACTGGCGCCGGAAACTATATTGTATATTTTTTATATGATTGTATTATATATTAGTATAAATGTATGTAATTTTCATTTGAATTTATCAAAAAATAGCTAAGCAACTAATTATTTTATAGCTAAAATAAGTTACTCGGTAATGCACTAGTATAATTATGAGATTTTATTATATATTCGTTCTTGAGAACAAAATTCTGTTATTTTTTTGTTATTTAGTATTAAATTTAGATATTTCAAGGATATAATCAAATAAAAATCATTTAATTTACTTTATTTAAAATATCTTTAAAAAATATATAACAAGGCTTGTTGAATAAAATATCTGCTAATTTGGGATTAATTGACAAGACTTAAATGAGATTTTTTGGAAAGAGAGATATATTTTTAAGAGAAAAATATATTTCCCATAAATTTATTCTTAGCACATTGTTGACACATTTATTTACAAATTATGTTAATTAAAGTTTAAACTTAAAAAAAAATTAATTTTATGTGTGATTTTTTATTTTATAGCTGGGGGAATTACTTTCAGAACATGTAATCATCATAATATATGTCACTTATTTAAATTGCAAACATTCTTCACTGATTTATTTTCAATCTAGATATCATTTTTAACTTTTGCAAATGCTTAATTGCTTTCCATACATTATAAGTACTTTTATATACACATATATTACAAATTATTTACTAATTACAAAATGTTTTTTAACTATACTGTATAGCATGTATATTTATAAAAATAACCATTATGATTTTTTAAATAAACATAATCTATTAATCCACTTTATCTGCCTAGATTCACAAAAAATTCATTCCTTAAGATATACTCGTTACCTTAAAAACGACGCGAGAAAAGCATCGCCGATTCATATTAATAAATATAGATCGAAAGTAATATGCTAATGAAATATATACATATACTCTATATGTGTTATATATATAATTATATATATTATATATATTATATATATAAATTATATATATAATTTATATGGTATCTAAAGTTCTCTTCATTATATAAAAAACACCTCTTCATTTTATACATATAATATGAGGTTCAAATATGTTAAAATATTATTAATACAGTCTTTATTTTGTTGTAGACAACACTGTATCTTCTATCCAATCAATGTAAGCTGATATCCTTGTATATACACTAGGTGGTTGACCAGCACATCCCTGCCCAAAGGATGTAATTCCAACAATATAATCATGATTATTATATTTCATGATTATTGGTCCACCAGAATCACCCTATAAGACAAATAAAATATACTGTTACCTACTAAAACTACTTTCAGAATAAACATACCTGGCAAGTATCTCTTAAATGTTCAGGATCTCCAGCACAAATTTGAGTATTCAGAATTTCTTGTTGTTCATATTCGGAATCTGATGTATAATATCTTCTGCAAATGTTATTACTGACTATGTTTAAATTAGCTTTTAAAAGTTGATCGGAACCTTTCCCACCTAAATTAATTTTGTATAGGAAAAAAATAATAAATTAAAATAAAATAATATTAGAAATTATATAAATAATTTTAATTTAAAACTAACCAAACATTGTGTGACCATATCCAATGGCAATGACGTTAATATTAGGTACTTCATATTTAGTCCATAAACAAACTATATTTTTACTAAAAAAGGAATGATTTTTGAACTTACATGTGTATGCTAAAATTATGTTATTGTGTATATCTATTATTATTACAATATATAAGCTGAAGTCATAAACATAAATATAGGTAATAATGTCATCCACTTATATATATGGAAATTAATTAATTGTACATATTATTTTTATACATTATAATGAGTGATTTATATAAATATAAAGAAATTATTTAAATAATAACTAACTTACTTTGATTCCTCTTCAAGTTCTATAAGTGCAATATCATTATGATATACTATATATTTATATGCGGGGTGTACAATAATTCTTTTTATATTAATATTCGAACCAGAGATATCGGTTAGATTCATTCCTCCAATTCGAACGTATTTTGGATATGAGCTGAAAAAGGTATTATGTTATAAATAGGTATGTTTGAAAACTTTTTAGTTTCATTGCCAATAATTTAAGTTTACCCGGCAAAATCTGTACAATGTGCAGCTGTTAAAACGAATCTCTTCGTTATTAGAGCTCCTCCACATCGATAAATTATTGAACTATCAAAGTTCGATGACCAGCCCAAAGCAGCCTAAAACAAAAATATCAAACTTATTATTCTTCAAAAATGGGGTTTTGATATAAACTAATATACCATGTATGGAAATTCATTCAATTCGGTGGGTTTACCATGTACTACTGATATTAAATCATCTATATTTAGTTGATGAGAGCTTGTTTGCAATGGCGGTATTGAAGAGAAATTAAGTTCTAACACACATTCTGAAAATATATAATATATTGATATATAATAACTATATGAACTATATGTTTCTTGAAAACTTTTCAGCTGATCAAATTTAATTAAACAAGTTATTATGAATATAATCTTTTGTTAATGAAATCGAGTATATTGTCTTCGCTACAACGAATTTATTAAAATTATATTTAATAATTAAATTTTAGTTATTACTTTTAAACATTACTTTATAATGAAAACAAAACTCACCCAGTTCACTAGGACGTCTCTTTGTTTCTATTGGTATATAAAAGTTGAGCCCGCCGGAACCTATTTCGCAGCAGACAATCTGTTCATACTTGTTGAAGTAACAAGTTTTAGGTGGTTGTCTTTTATCATATAGTGCTGAAGGACAATCAGTCAGATTTTTGCATTTGCCTTTGATATGTTGTTCTTCATCCAAATAGCAATCATCATAAGAATCATTCTTTGGATAAATTATACCAGTTTGAGATTTAGGAATAAAAGCCGGAGAAGCCGCTATTTTTAGTTTCAGGTCAACAATTATAAAGTATAAAAATTTCGATTTAAATAAGTATATATAACTTAAGATACGTACACGTTAGAATGTATAAAAATAAAACCATCCATAAAATCTTCCACATAATTTTTGTTTTTAAATTTTTCAAAGAATATGAAGTATCTTGAATCTCGTTTCTGCAACAACTGTCAAGTAATGAAGCTAGATGATTTTGATTTTAATGTATGTTGAATTTTTGTATATCAAGTTTATATGAACAAACTGGATTTTAAATGGAACTTCTTATCAAGTTGAGATTGACTAATGCAACATAAAAAAGAGTTGTAGTGTTGCCAACTGTTTACAAAACCAAGTAAATAAAAATGTACAATAAAAAAGTCAGTTATTTTTAAATTGTTTCAAAAGAAAATATAACCTTTTGGGTCTTATGATTATAACTCCACATCATGATAAAGAAACAGACACATTGTGAGTATAAGAGTATAAGAAATATAAAGGTTTGCATTGTCACCGCATTCAACCTATTATGGTATATAAAAGTAAAGTAACTGGATAGTATATCAGTTCAATTATAACACATTGTAAAGGTATTATATAATATATTGGTAAGAAATTGTTTCCCACCCAAACTTTTCTATACGTTAACTATGAGATTATAATCGGTGACATACAATTTTGATCCTATTATTACTTGTTATAATATATCTGAAGAATTTCTGTAAAAGGAAAAATTTCCTTTTATGGATAAAACGTGATTAAAAACACATTTTTATTGAATAGAAGCTTATAGGATAAAAGAAATATTCTTTATAATTTTAGTTTTACCATATTGTCAACATATTTATTTTTTAAACCTCAGTTAAATTCGATTCATAATAATTAAATTTTGCAAGCGATAAATTTTTATAATTAAAGTAACTTTATATTTTTTTAATTATTGCCTAATAGGCCACACAATATTTTCTATCCAATCAATATAGGCTGATATTCTTGTGTATACACTAGGTGGTTGACCAGCACATCCCTGTCCAAACGATGTGATTCCAACAATGTAATCTTGTGTGTTATATTTTATTATTATTGGTCCACCAGAATCACCCTAAAAAGATAATTAAAGTTATTCACTAGAATGTTGTTTCCAATAGTTATTAATTATATATTTAACATACCTGGCAAGTATCTCTTAAATGTTCAGGATCTCCAGCACAAATTTGTGTACCTAGAATACCTTGTTGCACATATTCAGAATCCGGTGTATAATGCGTTCCACAAATTTTGTTACTGACTATATTCAAATCAGCCTTTAAAAGTTGATCAGAACCTTCTCCTCCTAAAGAAACACTTAGCAACATAATTATCTTCTTAAATTAAAGACCTACCGAATTTAGTGTGCCCATATCCAATCGCAATAACGTTAATATTGGGTACTTCAGGTTTACTCCATAAACAAACAATACTTTTGCTAAATAAAATTGATGTTCAATATTTATAAATATTATATTTAAAATGAATGATATGTGTATGATATTTTAGTATGATATATTTATTTATAAAGTATATAAATATACAATATAAATATGTATCTCATGCTTGTAAGTACTATGTACGTCATTTGTTAGATATAAAATGTTTATTTCGTGTGCATTATTTATATGTGTAGAATAATGATAGATATAGTTTTAACTTGAACATACTTCGATTCTTCTTGCAATTCTATTAGCGCAATATCATTATAAGACGATACGTAATCGAAAGTGGGATGGACTATAATTTTTTTTATTTTTATGTCGGAACCGTTGGTGTCAGTTAAGTTACTTCCTCCAACTCGAACAAATGTAGGAGAAGCACTGAAAATATTTTTAAATAAAATATAACTAGTATTTTGCAAAAATGATGTAGTAAGATCCGTAGCTAGAAATTTACTTTAGAAGGTTTTCAAATAATTTCATTATTTTTAGGGCCATTCAAGCCCTAATCGTCTTAGCTACGTTCGTATGTATATTTTTAATTAAAAAAATGTGATTGTTAAAATTATTTTAAAAAAATTAAATTATTAATTATTAAAAAAAATGCAATTTATGTATTTTATTATAAATTATTTATGACTCACCCTTCAAAATCAGTGCAATGTGCTGCTGTTAAGACGAATCTCTTTGTTATCAAAGCTCCTCCACATCGATAGATAATTGGGCTTTCAGTTATCGATGACCAACCCAAAGCAACCTAAAAAACAAATATTTTTGACTAAATCTGCTGTGAGCAATTTCATACTTGTACAAATAAAGATTTATACCATATAACGAAATTCACCAGGTTCGGTAGGATCACCATATATCAAATATCTTATGTCTTGCGGATTGTCTTCAGCAGATTTTGTACATTCTATAAATATATACTCAATAAAATTATGTTTATTGATATCCTTATAATTAAATAAGAAAAAAGAATAATTAATTTATTAAGATATTTATGATCCATTGATAGAGAGCTTACATTTATGATCCATTGATAGAGAGCTTACATGCCTACTTGGTTAACATGCAACATGCAACAATAATTTCTTTAAAATCTCTTGACTATTTAATCTAATAATTCAATTAAACCTTAATTTAAAATGGGAAATTACTACAGTTTCATTTCGTTTTGTCTAACTTCATTCTGTTCTAGTAGCATTATATATAGTTCCATTCAATAACTATATGCAAGAAGTTACCGATTGCCATAAGTTAAACAATTAAATTTAAGTTTAAATGTAAATATAATTCTGCTAGAAGTACTGTTAAATATTAAATTAAATTGAAAAATAATGAACACATTGACAACAGTGATTAGTAGATAATTTGATCTTAATAGAAACATGGTTAAGTTGCCATTTAATATTTAAATAATAAGCGATG